AAATTAAAACAAGGACTGTACTTTCGTAAAGTCGAAACAAACTGGTATTCCTACCTAAGCAATTAAGAAGTATCTGCAAATCGGGCCGGGAGATCTTGAACAAACAAGCAAAGAAAAGCAAACTTTAATTCTCTCTAAAACGGGGTACGCAAACAGAACTTACGAACAAAACGACAAAAATACAAACGGTTCGGAGTAAAGAATATTGTTTTACTGTGATTTGTCTAGAGATTTAAACAAAGTGAAACTTGATTTATTACAAAGAATATTATTTGTCCTTTTATAATTCTTGAGTAATAAGACAATAAAAAAGAGGATTGCAAAAGACATCAAAAATTACAATGAAAAAGTTAAGAACTAGCTAAGAAATCCCTCAGATCGGAAAGAAACAGCTAATCGCATTATACATATACTGCCATTACTCGCTGACGAGTATTCGACACGCATCAGAAGATGGTCACACAAGGCGTGATATATAGGTATAGAAAAAAAATCAGTGGCGTAAATGCTTTTTTTAGAAAAATATTCCAGTGATAACCCATACGCACGTCCCTGGTGAATATGTTGACACTTTTTTAGCATTAAAATATGTCGCATTTATAGTAGCTTTTACCCTCAAAATTTCATTTGAAACGCTAAAGGTACTTGAAAGAAAATTATAATAAATCGAAAAAATATGAAGACTGTAACACCCTGTAGCTACCGAACAAAGCAGACAGGAACCTATGTTGATATGAAAAAACAATCTTATTTTTACGTGAGGAATCTCCCAGGAGAGATGGCACATGTTTTTTGAAACGCTCTGTATTTACGCCGCGTACCCAACTAGCATTTACAGTGGCAGATACGTAACTGCACAGAATATACTAACGAAAAAGAAGCCCAAGTTCCTTGTAATAAATCGGTTCCATTTTCGTAACGCCATCTCTCGACATAGCTGACATTTACAGGTTAGCCAAAGGGGTGCGGGGCCGGGGGGAATTGTAAAATACACTTTTTTATTTTAATTCGCTATTTGCAATTTTATTTTTAAAACATATTATGTGAAACAATCACATAATATGTCTTAAAAATAAAATTACAAACGGAAACAAAAGGAATTAAATAATCTGAAAATCTACAAAGTTTATTGATAAAAAAGTTAGGCTATGCAAATTGATAAGTATATTAAGTATAACCTCTTTGGTATAACATTGTTAAACAAACATTAACAAATCATAACATATCAGATCATAGAACTTAAAAAAGTACTATTACATAAAAACAGGTGATACAATACTTCAAAATTAATTTTAACATAATATCAAAACCGAAAAATCAAACTGCAAACACAACCACACTTATCACAACAGAAATTAACACACACTTCCACGGCAAATGTCCAAGAAAGACTGATACTGATACTGATCGTTCTGATTGGTCCTGGACCGGTCGTAGTTCACGTCAGGTTCACGTCGTATTGTCGGTAAGCAAAATCCCTGTACAAAAATTTTGACGATCAGCGCCATCACCCGTCATAATTGGGAAACTTTTGCTGGAACCATTTTTAGTATTTCACTTACATGGCCCTGCGTAACTGCTACTATCAGAGCCACTACAGAGTGGGCGGTGACCATCGGCGGCTACGTCGTATATTCGTAGCTGCTAAGTAACTCCGACCAAAATGGGGAAAGATTTTGAGTAGCCGGGTAGTGTCTTGGGTAGTTTTTGCCACTAAAAGAGTTACTATAAAGTAGCCTACTGGTGAATGCGACTTATGCGTTATGAAGCTGCCTAGTCGCGGGTTCGTGGCAGCCAAGTGTTAGCCACCGACATGTGGAACTTTCGTTAAACTGTTGAACTTTATTCGCAGCGACCTCTTCATGCAATTTCACATTTCATAAAAATAAATGTCCTGATGGAAAATAATTATGGAAGCCATTATTATTTAATTTGTTATTTACCGTGCGATTTTAACGCCTTTTTTAGGTAAATTCCAGAACGCAATCAACTTTACTGAATAAAATAGTGGGTTTATATAACAAAATTTTCGAGCGCCTCTCAAAATATTTCAAATTATTATATTATTTGCAATAAAAACTCATTTTGTAATTAAAAAATAATAATAATTTGCTTGAAACCGGGGTCAAACTTTAAAATATTAGTCCACCGTCAGAAATAACAAAATAACTAAGGAAAAAAGCTTTAATCTAGGTATATTTAGCTTAAAAACGCATAATGTTTGAGCCATTTGGCTGTTCGTCTAAAAATTCATGAAAAAAATATGGCCGTTTAATCCGAAAAATACTTTATAGTTCCATATGCTTTCACAAAGTACCGGGAACAATAACATATTAGGCCAACCCTACCCATTTGGACCTTTAAAATCTTCGGATTGATAAAGTGACAATTGTAGCTATCCAAAGGCGACTTTATAGACACAATAATTTTTTTGGAACTACATGGTCAACGATTCTTTGAAACCATAAAGTGATTTTTCCAAGAAAGTTCCCTGCGCCACCAAATTGCCACTTAATTGGAGCATAGCTACACCGATCGCGGTGCTGGCGACTATACATTCCATTGATGTCACTATGACGTTCGGCCTTGTACTTTGAAGTTATTTTTTACTTGTGGTGCATTTTCTATTATTAGTGTTTCTATATTATTCAGAGCTACATGAGGTATAAAGTATTTTAACGCCCACTCTTTTAGCTCTTGTTTTATATTGTTGTTGGTTCTCAAATTAGTTCTCCTCTGAGATTCAGTTTCAGATGAACTAACACTACACTTATCTACAGAAACAGCTTCAAAAATGTCTCAATCACTACCTGATTTATAATGTTCATCAGTAGGATTATAGAAATATGTAGTTTTTGTTTTTGATGTTGATGCATCGGCTCGCAGTGATTCCTTTTGTTTAATTGATCGGTAGAAAGTACTAGAATATCTAAATTTCTTTTTATTCGCCTTAGGGATTTTACAGAATTTTAATAAAGCTTAAAAGCAAGTAAAAGAAAACACTAAAACAGAGCAGCACACGATGCAATCTGAGGCAACTACATTTATTAGGGTATATTAAGTTACGGTCACTATAAAGTAGCCGTTTTTGACCCCCGTGACTTTTTAGTGGCAATGGATGAGCGACGGCTAGTTTAGAGTAACCTAGGACGGTAGCAGTAACCATTTTGCTACTTTCAATGCTACTGTAAATTAGAAGTAACCAGGTGTACTACCCCGTAACTTAAATTGTTACTATAAAGTAACATAAACTTAATGGAGGCATTATGGTAGCATTTGTTGGTAACCCCTACTTTGAAAAGTTACTATAAAGTTTTTGGTCTTTTATGGTGTCATATTCGAAGATTCGGGTAGTTCCAGCCACTTCTTTAATTACATGTTTGCGACTTGCAATCGGGGTGTTTATTTTCCACTTTTATGGTAGGTGGGGACTAACCGGTCACTCTCGAAATATACTTCAAAGTGACTACTCCTTATAGAGTGACATTTTAAGTGGCAGAGTGGGCCTAGAAACTATACTTTAGTGGCAGTGACATTTCAAAAAGGACTGGGAGCTATATTTGCTAGTTGGGTAACCTCCGCGTCAAACAAGAGGCTGTATTTACATTTTTACAAATATTTACTAAAAAAGAATTGAGATAAAAATCACATTTAAAAGTAACATCATCATCATCATTATCATTTAGCTTATACCGTCCACTGCTGAACAAAAGCCTCCCTTAACTCTACCCATTTCCTTCTATTTTGTGCCACTTGAATCCAGTTTCCAGCCATCCTCTTAATGTCATCTGTCCATCGACTAGGAGGTCGTCCTCTGCTTCTATTGGCCTCGTGTCTCGGTCTCCATTCCACAAGTCTCTTTGTCCACCGTCCATCTGTCATCCTAGCCACATGTCCTGCCCAATTCCATTTAAGATGTAAGACAGATATCACCGCATCTCTTACTCCTGTTCGATTTCGTATTTTATGATTGGGTATTTTATCTCTGAGTGGAACACCCAACATGGACCTTTCCATTTTCCGTTGCATGACCTGTATTCTATGTATGTTCTTTTATATTGTTATACTTATATATAATTATTGGTTGGAATTTAAACAAGGATAGACAGCTTAATCATATATTTTAATTCTCCGAACTTGTTTTGGATGATATTTCTTCTCTATCTCTTTTCTACTGATCTATATAGTTCAGTCATTGGGGATTTTTGCTTGGAAAAAAGTCCGGAAGTTTTGCAACTTTGCAGGTTTATAGGTTTTGGGGTCCCTAACTAAAATCCATAAAATGCACATTACCAGACTTGCCGCCGGCTATATATTAATGTTTAAATTTCCACTTAGTACTAGGTTTGTCATGTATTGTGTCTTTGACAAGTTAATTTTCAAACCGACTTTTTCCGAAGCATCATTCAGCATATCCAGCATATTCTGTGCCTCCTGTATGTTGTCTGTTATTAAAATAATGTCATCTGCAAAACAGAGATGATTTATCAATTTGCCATCGATGTTAATTCCTGTTGAATCCCAGTTTATCATTTTTAGCATACTTTCTAGCACAGCAACGAATAGTTTAGGGGACAGTGTGTCGCCTTGTCTTACCCCTCGATCGATATTGAATTTATCTGTGCATTGATTTGTCGATATTCTGACGTTTGCCGTGGCATTATCATATATATGTCTTATGATTGAGGAGTATCGATGATCGATGCGACTCTCACTTAGTGTCTCTAGAAGCTTCCGCTGGTCTACCGAATCGAAGGCCTTCTCGAAATCCACGAAGACAAGCATTAGTGGTCTATTATACTCAATGCATTTCTCGATAAGGACCTTGACTGTTAGAAGATGGTCATTTGTTCCGTAACCTGATCGGAAACCTGCTTGTTCGCTCGAAAGAAAAAAGTCTATTTTATTTGTCAAACGCTTGGTGAGTATTTTAGTAAATAATTTGTATACGTGGCTAAGAAGGCTGATGGGCCTATAGTTTTTAAGGTCTGTAACGTCACCTTTCTTGTGTACAATAATGATGGTTGCGTTGTTCCACTGTGATGGGGTTATTTCTTCTTCAATGCATTTATTAAATAGGACATTTAAAGCTTTGATGATTTCTGGTCCTCCTTCTTGGATTGACTCTATTACCAGTCCATCGTCGCCGGCAGCTCTATTGTTTTTCATATCTCTAAGGGCACTGATAATTTCTTCCTCGGTTATTTCTGGAATTTCTTCCGACCCCTGATTTATTACCTTTCGGATGTCGGTTCTGATCCCCTGCTGTTTTGATGTGTAAAGTTCTTGATAGAAAAGTTTAATAGAGTGTAGGATTTCCTGTTTGTGTGTTACTATGTTGCCGTGCATATCCTTGATCTTTTGTATTTCTTTTCTTCCCATTGTACTATTTCTCAATATCTTCAAACTTTGATTCTTCTCTATGACTTTCCTAATTTTTTCCGTATTCTGTTGCCTCCTTGCTTTCTGATTTCTTTGGATATATCTCTGTTTAAAGTTCTATATTCTTGTGTACTCTTGTCCTCCATATCTCTTCTCTGTTTCATTAAAAGTTTTGTGCTTTGATTCAGTTTTTGTTCTTTTACTTTTTTGGGACAACATTTTTCGATAGCCGTTTGAGTGGCCCCTTTGATGTTTTCGTATATTTCGTCTATCGTAGTAGTATTTTCATAATTTAGATTTGAGGCTATACATTCCTTATAAGAATCTTTACTTTCAGGGGCTACCCATTTCTTGTGGTTTTTCTTGAGTATCATGTTAGTTCTTTCCTTCTTTATATTCATTTTTATCTCGGCTCTTACAATGCGGTGATCGCTTCCTATCGAAAATCTGTTTAATACACTTACGTCTTTGATTACATCTTTTCTATCGCTGATTATGAAATCTATTGCATTTTTGGTTTTGCTATCTGGACTGGTCCATGTCCACTTTTTGCTGTTTCTTTTCTTGAAGAAGGTGTTCATGTATATAATTTGTTGTGGTGTGCGAAATCTATCAGTGTATCACCTCTTTCGTTTCGGCTTCCCAATCCATGATAGCTGACTGAAGTTTCCGCTTCATCTTGTTTGCTACCAACTTTGGCATTAAAATCTCCAATTAACATTGTATAGTGTGTTTTTCCATTTTGTAGAGCAGTGGATACATCTTCGTAAAAGTTCTCCAATTCGTCATCTGTACTTTCGGTAAAAGTAACAACTTTAAATAAATGAGTTTTAAGGTTAAAACTTCAAAAAATAACGGAATCTTAATTAGAGTTAAAATATTCACCGGTTTCTTCGGCTTAACGAAGATAAAGTTCCAAAGGAGAACTGTATAAATCAGAGTGTTTTCTTTTTTATAAAAGACTCTTATTTGTTCTTTCCTTTACCTTGGCGATTAAGCGTAGCTTTTAAATCACCCTGTTAAAGTTTTAAAAAGTAAACAACCCCACAACTCCCTCGACAAAATCCTGTTTGAAACTGCAAACAGTTGTAAGCAAAGTAAAAAAAAATATGGTATATCCCAAGCAGGCATTTTTGGACACATTTTAGATAATGTTTCTAATAATTTTTTTTGATGAGTTTTGTAAATTCAATACAGAACTTCAATACGCTGATGACTGTGCTCTAGTTGCAAATACGGTACAGCAATTGCAAGAAATGTTGAACACATATACATGGGCATATGAGGCTTTGGGACTTAAGCTGAACATCGATAAAGCTAAAATCATGTGCACTTCCCCGGAAGATTACAACAATGCTATAAAAATCGGAGAAGAACTATTGGAATATGTAGCGGAATTCAATTACCATGGAACTATTTTGTGGCCCGCTAGATCACCAGATCTTTCTCCCAATGATTTCTTTTTGTGGGGTTATGTAAAATCCAAAGTGTATGGTCATAATAGGGCTAATAATCTGGATGAGCTTCAAGTAAAAATACGAGAGGCTTTCCAAACTATTAGCCCTAATATGTTAGCCAATGTCAGACGAGGATTTTACGACCGCCTAGACTTCTGTCTAGCACAAGAAGGTGGTCTTTTTGAACACTTGTTATAATTTTTTTTTATTTAGAGTAATACTATAGTTTTTTTGGGTTTAGAGAATTTATTTATTTTTAGTTTTGGCTTGTAAACACACTCAAATAATAAATATTTAACTATTTTTATTTTAAATGTTACCTTAAGTGAAGGTAAACACTTAAAATGAAAATAATAAATACACGGCACTCCTCGCGTCATATTTCTAGTCTGTCACGACCGACCCGTCCAAGCACAACTGCAACTGCGTACTGCCTGACCAGCCGACTAGCCGGCAGTGAATCTCTAGTAAGAACGCAAATCGGGTAAACGTAAATTCGTCCGGCAACTTGCTATGTTACTAGTAGCCTGGTCTTCTCGTATACGGGAGCTGTTATTATGTTATTATTATCGAGATCTACCAGCCCTGAGAATATTTGCACTTATTTAAGACTTACCCTGTATATATTTAACAATAATTAAATTCGTTTTCAAAATATTCGGGAAATGCATTAAAGGTTTTCCATTTCAAAATATTATTGTTGTTCTAACAAAAGCAAATTAATGAAGCACTGATTAATGCACATAATTTATCATAAAAACATGCGAAAAAACGATGATGTAACAGACAATCTCGCTTGAAATGATTTATCTACATATTTTGTTCGTCCAAAAATAGTAGGGATCGATAATTATTTATAATCAAAATTATATTAGTACCTATACGAAAAGAAAAATTGATGCAATATCTATTAACAATGTTTACCCATTGTCGATTTTAACTAATAAAATAATAGAAGCTAGGAAATGTTGATATTTTAAGTACAGTATATTTGATATCAATTAAACTTTTAGTTACGTTGTAGCATTTTTTATTTCCTTTAATAAAATTGAATTTAAAAATCTATTTTTATTTAAATTTCTTAGTATTGGCGCCATCTATTTGCTAGATGCCAAAGATACCAGCCTCCATTTGTTACAGCTCACTTGTTTCGATATTTAATTTTTATTAGCGCATTTATTCGCTAGATGTCAAACTTCATTTTTTACAGTTCACTTGTCTTGTTTATTAGCGCCATCTATTCGCTATATGCCAAACTTCCTTAATTGCATTTCACTTGTCCCAATCTCACTTCGCTGTGGCTTGCGATTTTCTGTTCTAATGATTTCAATCATATGATATCACTTTTTTCTCTCATTTTGTCTGTAGTGCTGGGTTTTTACTTTATTCTGCAACTGAGAATAAGGTCTTTTTTCTGGGATTTGGATCTGAGGAAGATGCGTGTTTTGGCGTCCGACAAATTTTCCAATGAAAAGCACTCTGAATCCACTCTTTCTGTTTCCTAAAAATGGTGTCCAATTTGAGATTTGAAACCTTAAAGTATGCAATCCAGAGTAGAGATCGTATTTGTTTGGTTTCTTCTAGGAATGATCACCGTAAGTTTATCCGCCATTTTATATAGCCCCATCTAACCAAATTCTATTTCCAGCTATTTCCATTTGTTATTTCTGTTTATTTGAGTATTTAATTACTGGTTTTGATCGGCATATGGTTTGAATATATTTATGTAAAGCTGATTTTCAGGGATCGTGTTTTTTTAATGAGTATCTGTCCTGAGAACTACTTTTTATTTATAGAGTAACTACCACATGGTACTCAGTAACCACCACATGGTACTCAGTAATCACCACATTGGTACTCAGTAACCACCACATGGTACTCAGTAAAACTACCACATGGTACCCAGTAATTACCACATGACCTTAAGACAGTGTTCCCGACATTACAATCGTTCTTTGGCTGATATCGAAGACTTCTCCTGCCATAGTCATCTGTATCCACTTCTGTTAGTCTAGAGAATACCTACCTACCTGTTTACATCATAAGAAACTATATACAGATAAGTATCTCTCTCTCTTAAGTTTGATACACAAGGTACGCTTTTATTTTATAATCAATTTTGAGACAAATAGATTTACCAAACTTAGTAAATTATCAAATTTCATTTCATCCCATTACATTGTAGTCAAAATTATTTTTATTTAACGTTATAAGTTATAATTTGATTCATACAGTACACTCTTACTTAACTATGATATTTTATATGAAAATTATTAACACATATTCATTTTTAAAGCATTTTTACACGACATAAGCCTTGAAACATCATCGTATTGATATTATACATAAATTTCACCTGTTTTATTAAGTAGCTTACTTAGTCTCAAAGAATACAGTTGCTAAATTCGAATCTATTTAAAACAACTTGCGGTTTTATTGGGATCACTGCGACTAATTGATGATACTTGTGTTCGTTTTCAATAATGTTTAATGTAGGATAGCTATTTCTGACTTTTATTCCTGATATATATACAGACCCCTAATGCTGTTGATTACCTTATTTTAGCTAGGTTGTGATATCGTATTTTTTCTTTTGGTTTCTTTACTCTTTACCCACCCCATATAAACAGGCGCAAGTGGCGCCCTTTCACCGTCTCTTGACCATACCCCATTTGAATTCCCCTTAACACATCATAATTATTATTATCTCTGCAGCCTATATATTATCATTTTTTTAATTTTTTTAACAACATTAGAAAGTCACTGTGAGTCAGAAGCCTTACCTACGAACCCAGCTTTCTTCTAACCCTGAGCAACGGATTCTTTTTTCATTCTATTTGGGTAACGACAGAAAAGTCGTCACAACGTAATCGAGGGCGCGATTTTTAAATTCATTGTTGCCAACCATGGACATATTCGGCGCCGCGCCGCGCCGTGCTGACTTAATGGAATTTAAATTTCCCGATAGGGATTCAGGTGGTAGCTCTGCTGTAAAAAATGTCAAGTTGTCGCATTTATTTATTTATTCTGCATTGTTATCTGTTTTGACACTTTAGTTTTGTATTACTAGTTTTTTTTTTTTTTTTTTTTTTTTTGTTTTGATAATTTTAAGCTTAAACATTTTTACTAGCCGACGTTGCAGTCGAACATTGTTCTTTTCAAAACCTCTTTTAGATTAAAGTGTGCAAGGTACCTTAATAGCCTTAAAAACTCATCATAACTTTATTAGAATATTTTGAACGGGAAAGCGGTAACATAACCAACATGAGATACAGGCCAGAGACATCGATTTGTGACGTCACCACAATAGTCGGGCTTTTGAATTGTGCCATATGGTACTGCATATAGTTTTTGCATAAATAATAGTATTTATTGATAGTTTTGCCAGATATAAATATGAAAAATATTATACACAAACGTATTAAAAAACAACATTAACTTTTTATCGCGTTAAAGTAATTGAATAGCATTAAAATTTTAGATCTAAACACGAATATTAATATGAAATAAACAACAGCATAAGATGAACAGAATAAAATCCAGATAATAAAAAGTATGTCCTAAAATTGCGTTAGCGAGTATTTAGCAGCTAGTAATAATATACCTAGTGATAAAGTTTCCAAATATTAAAAATTTTGAAAACTATAATTTTATCGACAAGTTAAGGAAATGTATTGTATATGATATGGGCAGAATACATTTTAAAGTTTAATTAAAATGATTGTAAAAATTTGCCTAACATATTTAAAAATGTGGATACTGTGGTAGAATTAATCCATTATCACAAGTAATTTAGAAGTCTGATGTTCAAGTAACCATTTCCATAAATTGTGAATAAAAGATAAAGATATTTTTTATATAAAAATAATTGAAATAAAGTACAATTCATTTAAGTTCTTTAAAATATACTGCCATTTCATAATAATAATAATAATTTTCACACATTTATTTTATCCTGAATTTCCAAATCTTGTTTTCTTTCATCGGGATGTTTTCTCTTTATTGGAACATGCACAGTCATATAAGATGGTTGATTTGGAAAAATTGTAGGCACAGCATCTTCTGTAGGTTTTGGACGTGACTTAGTTACAGTTAATATTGTTGGGAAAGAATGTAGACGGATCCTGGGTACTTTTATAATGGACCGCGTAAGTGATGACGTCACGGCAGCCATTTTTGTTCGATTTAGTTCCAAACAAAACAAAGTGCTGTCACTGCCAATTACTATAACAAACTTAAATTTTTTTGTATTTCTCTCAAAAATTAGAGGAGATCAAGCAGGTAATTATTAGTATTTTGTAGATAAAACTAGCACTGAGGTGTGGCAGCTGGCATCTCAGAACTGTGCACAGGCATGTGTTATGGAAACTAAACGGCTGTGCAACGGGCATCAAACGGCGCGATGGGAACCATTGGAACGGAGTTTGAACAGCGGTGCAGAAAGCCCTGGAAAACTACTGCACTATGATTCCAAGAATGACAACCATGGCAGAAGTACAACAGATGATGGCCCCTAGTCCGTGGCAGGCTTTCAATAGCCAAGGGGTGCTAAGAATACCCACGAAGAAAAATGCTAGGACCCACCCGAAAGTGGACACATCTCCAGGTCTTAAACTGGGAACCTGGAATGTAAGAAGCCTGTATGTGGCTGGTAAGCTGGATAATTTAACACAAGAAATGGAACGCTGTAAGGTAGATATAATGGGCCTTAGCGAAATCAGATGGCCGAACAGCGGCCAATGTACAACCGAAAAAGCAACACTATACTACTCCGGAAACAATCAACCTAACCGCTTTAATGGGGTTGGATTCATAGTCAATAAAAACGTGAACAACAAGGTAAAGAATTTTGTGGCATATTCGGATAGGTCAGCACTCCTGCAGCTCAAGGCTGATCCAGTAGATCTTAACATCATACAGATTTACGCTCCAACGACAGACAGGCCAGAAAACGAAGTAAAACAACTATATATAAGGGAAATAAAAGAACTACCGAAACTGGTGGAAGTAGCGGAGATCCTGGTGGGAGTTATAAGGACTTTAACGCCAAAGTCGGTCAAGGCCGCGTGACAGACGTGGTCGGGGAGTATGGCTTAGGAGAACGCAACGAAAGAGGTAATAATGCTGTTCAGTTTTGCCATAAGAAGAAAACTGATCATCGCAAACACATGGTTTAAACTTCCCCCAAGAAGGCTATACACCTGGCAGTCACCGCAACACACACCAGATTATGTCGTCAGGAACCAAATAGACCTTCTATTAATCAGCCAAAGATATAGAAATGGATTAAGTGGAGTAAAAACATATCCAGGGACCGATATTGGATCGGACCACAACCCGGTAATAGGAACACTAAAAGTAAGACTAAAGAAATTAAGACGGGCGCCGAGAAAGAAAGTCGACATGAACAAATTAAAGCTGAGATAAGAGCGGAAGCAAAGGAGGAAATAAATAGGGAAATTGCCAAAATCAGGACCCTGCCTCAACCACCGGATGATGTCGGAAAAACATGGGACCGTTTGAAGAACGCAATAGTAACCACTACAAATAACATAGTTGGACCACCTACATACAAAAGGAGGATTTTAAGATGACGAGATTTTGTCGCTGATGACTGAGCGCGGTCTGTGTAAGAATAGGGATCAAACCAAGTACAAAGAAATTGATAAACAAATCAGAAGGGAAATACGCAGAGCTAAGGAGCAGTGGATGGAAGATAAGTGCACTGAGATCGAGACAATGAAAGAAAAGCATGACCACTTCAATATACACAAGCTCGTAAAAGAAACAACAGGACGTACAAAACATTACAAGTCAAATAGTATAAAAGATGACAGTAACGAACTCATAACTGACATTAGCAGCCTACTGAACCACTGGAAAGAATACACCGAACAACTATTCCGCGAAAATGAACAGAGAATCTTTAGGGATAATTGCCCGAGGCTGGTTTTGTAGCTCCCGTATTTTCTAGGTGTGTCGTCCGGACGGCATCCTGCATCAGTGACGCTGGACGGGATCTCGCCGAAATTCCGAGGTTGTCCTGACCGGGCGGTGTGTGTGCGGGGTGCGCTTATAGTAACGACGTACAAGTCGCCGAGACATCGCTAACGTCTACATCACTCGCGGGACGCTGTTAATTTCGCGATCGATCCAGGGCTCGCGTTTATGTCCCACAGGACGCTGTTAACTTCGCGATCGATCCAGGGCTTGCGTTAGTATATCCCACAGGACGCTGTTAACTTCGCGATCGATCCAGGGCTTGCGTTATTATATTCCACAGGACGCTGTTAACTTCGCGATCGATCCAGGGCTCGCGTTAGTATATCCCACAGGACGCTGTTAATTCCGCGATTGATCCAGGACTCGCGTTTGTGTATCACGGGTACGAGGTCCGTGTTTCATTGTCAAAACGGACGCCGTTCCGAGAAATATTTAGCTGTGACCATCGGGACACCTGTAACGACGTCGCCGCCGTTTAGAGAGTCGTGTCGTAGAGTGTGTTGCTTAGGTACTTACGGGTCTGTGTTCATTAGGACGCCGCTAAATTCGACGCCAATCAGGAACTCGCGTCGTTTTATTTAATAGAACGTAATTTCGGGAACGCGTTTTGAATTGACGGGGTAGAATCAGTCAGAGAGTTACGTATCAGGAATAATCGATCAAAACTCTAGAGGTACACAGTTGTTATTGTAAATTTTACTTTACGGGTCTTTAAATATACATTTTATTTCACTATTGTTACGATTCGAGGACGTGAACCTTCCTGGATTATTTTTGTACATAATTAATTACTTAAATAAAAACCTAGTGTTACGTTATAGTTAATTGTGTGTTTTATTTTCTTTTCATCTCATCACTCCCTGGTATCTCCACTGTATAAAAGCTACCCGTACTGGCACTAGTGGTCTCTCAAACACTTTAAACGTTGGGGGTGGCGCCCGAGGAACCGAACCGTGACAAGGCAACTCGGCGTCCGTGACATCTCTCAAAAACGGGGGACCGTCACAGATTGTTTGTTAAGATCGCTTATACCAGGTTCTCTCTTTTAATCAAAACAACCATTAGAAAAATATACATTTATTAAATAAAAGTATACAGTGTGGATAAAAATATCAGGAGAACCATTTCAGGAAATGCCAAGACTTGCAAGGGTATGCTGAAAGGAGTACTTACATGAACATCTTCAACGTCTTCACTGTCTTGTGACTAACCATTTGACTAACTACCGATTAACTGGCTACTAATTAACTGACTGACACTCTAAGAAATTTCTCAGGACTTAGACCGAAAAAAATCAAAGATTTTCCTCGATTTAGGTAAGAACAATCATTGGATTATCACAAAACACTGTCTCCTCAACGAATACCTCAATAGATTGAAGCTACGAAACAACGGTGAATGCAAGGTGCAATTCACACTGAACGGACGTGGGCGAGGACGTGGCAAGGACGGGACACGGACGCGGCGGAGATGTGACGTGTGCCAATTCACACAGAAGGGGCCGGGTAGTGACGAAAAATTTTGGTAAGTTAGGAACGGAGAGATGAAATAGTTCCTAGAGTCCTAGTTTTGGCTACAACTGTTATTACCAACTAGATTAGAACATGGATTTTTCAAGATGTGATGAAGATGATATATTGGATTTGGTGTAATTGGCTACTGTATATAAAAACAGACAATTTTGGGTTCATCCACTCTGGCTAAAGGATGGGGAAACGGGTGGAACATTCAACGTTATGCTTCAATTTCCTCACAAAACTGAATATTAAATTCAATATAATATTGCATTTTTTACTACGCTACAAGTGTCGTTCAACGGACGTGTCTGTTCCTATACGCCACGAGCGACTGGACGGAGACGTGGCAAGGGCGGACGTCGCCTCTGTGTGCATTGGACCATTGAATTACATAGAAGAGACGTAGAAGCGACATAAGTCTGTGCCACGACCACGCCTGACGTCCGTTCAGTGTGCATTGTGCCCAATAATCCCAATAATATGTAATGGCAGAAAATAGCTTTTAAAAATAGGCAAAAAAGATTTTTTTCCTGGCTTGCCTTATGACGGCATGCCAGTCTTGAGGTAGAAAGATATAAAGGTAGAATTTCTTTTCCTTTTCTATAATTCCGAAATCTTGGTCCCATGGTAAATAAGAATGTCCACTTACTAGGAATTTGTGATCTATTTCCTCCACAGTGAAATCTGGAGATGAGGTAATATAATTGTGCTTCTCGAAACTATGTATTCTCAAAAATCAAATGCAAAATCTAGATTACTGCTGCCATCTAGTAACGAGTAGAACAAGGTCGCTTGATCCACTTTGCAGTTGATAAATAACAACCCGATGGTGAATATTATACAATAAAACAAATTTTGAATTTTTGTGGGTTAGTCCGTTATTGCACACATAACCAGATATAATTACATACAAGATATTATTTTTAAATCTTTTTATATTATTTAGAACGTTTAAAATTGTTAAAAACATTATTTGTGGCGCTTGAAAAAAAAATTGCATGTTGCCTTGGCTGTAAGTGTCATTTTTATTGCTTATAAAATATATACTATTTTAAACAATTTCAAACGTTCGATATAATATAAATAATAATATAAATGCCTTTATTGTCAAAAAATTTTTCAATTTGTAGACAAAGGTAAACTAACAAACAAAGTAAAAAAACAAGGTACACAAACAAACAAACAAAAGATAATACAAAACATTATACAAATAATATTGTCAGTCTTATTGTTAAAATAAACATTTATAAATGTTTATAATGTCAAACACTAAGAAAGAAAGAAAGAGATATAATAAGTGATAAACTTTCTGCAAAGTAAAATTAGCCTATTACTTTATTCAGATGGATTAAAATCGTTTTTTAAATAAAGTTAAGTTAGAATGCTTAGTTTTCGTTTTCATGATAGTAGGTATTTGTTTGGTTTGGTTACTGTTTTTGCTAAATATTCATTTTATTTTAGATAAACCATGGCTTCTGTTAAACATGTTCTGAAATTCAGTACAGTTGTGAACTACTTTTCTGGAGCTGACAATACGAAACTTATTTCCACAGTAGAAAATGCAGTGGAATCAAACTAAATGAAAAAATTATATTCAGTTATAACGCAGGAAAATCGGTAAAAATCTTTTGACTCCTCAGAAGGTGGATCAATATGTAAAAGGTAGTAGTTATTTTCTAGTCTTTCATTGGAAGTTAATTATGGAATAAATAAATATACATTAGGTAAAATCAATCAAATTTCAGATTAAAAACAGAGAACCTAGTATCTCTTGGCTACATATTCAACTCATTAGATCATCTATAACCATGTGTGAAGAGGATTCATCTAATAAAAGTGTTCAAAAAGTAGCAATGTAACGTAACAATCAGCCTTAACAGGTGGACAGTATGTTTTCCATGACCAATATTTTTTTTTGCTATATTGGAGTTTTCTCCTTAGGCATATAGAAGATATACTCTGTTTTTTTTCTCAGGTAAGATTTCGACAGACGATGACAGAAGAAAAGCAGATGACGTCCCATACCAATCTATTTATTTTACTAAAAAGTTTTTTTTTTATTATTTAATTATGTATTGATTTGTATATAAGTCCGTCATGCGTCGTGTCTTGTTGTTTTTAACCAGTTTTATTGGTTTATTTAAAGCTGACAGATCGTATTTCAATTTTATTGGTTTGACGGAACGATGAACGACAAACGGACGCCGATGCGTATGAACTCGCCTTTAGATTTTTTGTCATTTTGACGCTTGTCAAAGACTTGCCAAATTATATGCTATAATTTTGTGTCAATCAACTTTGTTAAATACCACCGTTTGGAAGATGATGCATTTTTGATTCGTGTTATTACGTATGTTTTGTGTCTTTTGAAGTCAAATTGGAGGAAAAAAATCAGTGAAAATTAACTTTGTAGACCCAGAGCACAGTTTATGATTTATACTCGCTGCCCAGACAGAAGGTGTTATACACCAATGAAGTTACCATCGATAAAGTTTGTATACCATTTCGTCGTAGATAGGTGCATCTCGTATATTGTGAGGATCAAACTAAACACATACTAAAAACTGGGGTAACTGTGAAATATCGACATCACGATAGGTAAATAATGGATTTTAGTACTGCAGAAAAAAATAATGTCAAAAAGGTACTACAAAAATTAAGATTAAAGTAATTAATCAACCTTTAAGGTGTAAATTTGGTAGGTGTTATTTATTAATAAAATGGTTTGTTTTATTCTACCTATGTTGTTTATTTATTCCTGTGGAATTTAACAAATTTGTATTTATTTTGTAAGTTGTATTGATAAATATAATCGTAAATGCGGGTAGTTTCATAAAGCTTGAAAGTAAATAATAGTTTCTTTTTTATATTTTTTGGTATGTAGTGTCTTGTTCTTGTTTGTTTTGTATTAACATAGATTTTTATTAAATAAAATAACTCGATTACATTTTTCAGTTTAGTTTTTCACAATATTTTGAAATAATCACTTGTCATCTTGTCAAATTTTAAATATATCCTGCTATACGTTCCAGTTGTACCAACATTTCTTTGTAAATAAAATAAACTTCACTTTAAAAAATTAAAACCAAGCAGGCCACATCTATCCCTGTCAAGGATCTTCTCGTTGGACAGACTAACAATATTATAATAGTACGGCAGAGTATTCCTTAAAAAAGGATATACATATTTTTATATAAAAAAAAAAAAAATTTATAGTTATAATAATACATACTTTCAGAAATGGCAAATGTGAATATTTTAGTAATTTGTAAAAATAATAACAAAAAAAAAAAAAAAAAAATTTTTTTAGTTTTAACTATATTCTTTAATTTTATACTAAGTAATTTATATTTTTATGGGTATATTTATTAACTTTGCAATTAATACGTGGTAAACAGAAGAAGAATTTGTGTTGTTTCAAGTAATTTAATACAAAATAAAAAAAAAAAAAAAAAATATTTTCAAATATTGAAACATTTATATAGTAATAAGTAACATTTTAAGTCACGTATATTATTCAGTCAAATAAATTAAAAACATTTAGCTAGAATACTAAAGTTTTTTAATAAAACGAAAAGTAAAGGCATAAAAATGTATTATTTATAAAAAAAAATATGTCGTAGATTTTAGATATTTGTTTTCGTCCCTTCCTCTTTATTTCCCGGCAGTCCATCGACTTTGGATATTGGTAACTGATATAATGTCCATAAATGCATAAGGTAGCTTTGTGATGGCATAAGTATAGGCCTCTTACATTCTGATCTATGAATTGAGCTATCTTCATCAAGTTCTACCTATAAATATGTACAGCACAAGTTAAACATTTTGTACTTTTAATTACACATATTTTGACTCACGTGAACATTAGATATAAATACGATCTCTCATACTGGTATGTACTTTAGCTTTTAATAGTCCAAAGCTTACCACAAAATGAAAACTTTTTCAAGTGGTTGGATTTCAATGCATTTTCTCCTGTGAAAATAAGTTTCATCTCGTCAGCTTTCAGCTTCCAAAAAGTAGTCTACAATTGTACTGAATTTCAGAACATGTTTAACAGAAGCGATGGTTTAACTAAAATAAAATTAATACTTAAAAAAAACAGTAAACAATACTACGGCTCTGGTGCACAATAGGTCCCCACGCATTTAACACTTTTTTGGGATTTTTTTGCAAGATTATCTTAAACTGAATATTTTTAAGCATAAAAATTGTTGGATGAATGTGTTTTATCTTTAAAAAGCGGCAAAAAACGTATTTTAGGTACAGGCGACGGACAGTAAATATGTTAAATTTTCTACACGGATTCAGTAAAAACATCACATATTAGTACTTTATTACCTTATATAGACGTGGAATGATCTAATTTAAGCACAAAAATGTAACGAATCTTCTTTGTAAGCATAAAAATTAAGAAAATATATTTATTTACATCAGCTCAAGCTAGCAATTTTATGACTTTTTCGATTGACAGTTAATCGATCATCGGTATGTCATCTATGGCCTTCGCATAGAATTTGCGACGTTGTCAATAAAATTACTTTATATGATTTTCTTCTGAAATAAAGTTGTTGTGGAGGGACTTAAAACGGTAAGTTATCACTTTAGTGCAACAAAAATTGAACTGTCTAGTAGCTTATTCGTTAGTGTGGATTATTTTAAAGCAATTTCTGAAATAAAATTTGCGGATTTTTCAGGTTCTACGAAAATATAAGTTTTTTTAATATATACTGTTTTTCGACGCGTAATCAATGAAGTTTTGTCATTAGGCTCAATTAGGTTAGCCTGGTTATTTGGAAGGTGGTAATGCATTGGTTAGCCTGGTTATTTGGAGGGTGTTAATGCAATGGTTAGCCTGGTTATTTGGAGGGTGGTAATGCATTGGTTAGCCTGGTTATTTGGAGGGTGTTAATGCATTGGTTAGCCTGGTTATTTGGGGGTGTTAATGCATTGGTTAGCCTGGTTATTTGGAGGGTGGTAATGCATTGGTTAGCATGGTTATTTGGAGGGTGTTAATGCATTGGTTAGCCTGGTTATTTGGGGGTGTTAATGCATTGGTTAGGTTAGGTTAGATAGGCTGGTTATTTGGAGGGTGGTAATGCATTGGTTAGCCTGATTATTTGGAGGGTGTTAATGCATTGGTTAGCCTGGTGATTTGGAGGGTGTTAATGCATTGGTTAGCCTGGTTATTTGGGGGTGTTAATGCATTGGTTAGTCTGGTTATTTGGAGGGTGGTAATGCATTGGTTAGTCTGGTTATTTGGAGGGTGTTAATGCATTGGTTAGCCTGGTTATTTGGGGGTGTTAATGCATTGGTTAGGTTAGGTTGGTGGGGAGTGTTTGGAAGTACGCAGATCACATCGATTTCGGAATCTTACTGAACAAATCCGGGAAAAATATATTTTAAACAATTGTGCTAAATACTGTGTAATGATTTTATTGTCAATTTATTTTTATAGTGTTTTTGTTTTGCCTCGTTTATTATATTTTTAATTTTTCGTGTTCTTAAAGTGCGTACTAAATGCAAAAAAATGAATATAAAGTAGAACGTTTTCGTCGATTTTACACAGGGTGAGTATGGCAACACTGTGCATAACCTTGTATTTTACTGTCTTTATGAAGGTTATAATAGGGAGTTTTCGCATTGAAATGTAGTGAAAATTTGGAATTTTCAATTATTTTTTTTCGTAGAAAAAGTGGTTCATCCAACATTTTTTTTCTTTTAAACCATTCCATTAACTATGGGATCCACATTAAAAATTAAAAAAACCACGATTTCGTGGGGACCTGTTCTGCACAAGACCCCAATACTACGAAAAACGAAAACCAAGCATTCGAACCTAGCTTTATTTAAAAAAAAACAATTTTAATCCATCTGAATAAAGTTATAAACTAATTCTACTTTGCAGAAAGTTTATCACTTAATATATCTACAAAATACTAAAATTTACCTGTTCGATCTCCTCTAATTTTTTTAGAAAAACACACAAATACACAAAAATTTTAAGTCTGTTACAGTCTGCAGTAATTGACAGTGACAGCACTTTGTTCTGATTGGAACTGAATCCTAACAAAATGGCTGCCCTGACGTCACACTTACGCGGTCCATTGCTGCTACCAAGCACAGACACAGAACAATGTCGCGGCATTTTTTATTTCACAAAGTAAAAATAAAGAAACGACAACTGTTTTACCTAAAAATACACTTCACTTACGTTAGTTTAACACTATACACTAACACTAACGCTATTAATTATGTTTTTATATAAATTCCCCAACCTTATCCTAGTCCGGACACACAGCCGGCATCGCCGATGTTACTATAATTTTTACCGAAAGTATGGTTTTTTTCGCGGGTACGATGTTATGAATCGGATCTAGATAGTTCACTATTCACTCAAAATTATTTAGTATAATTTATTGGCATAGAAACGCGTAAAAAACACAGATTTGTTGCGAAACTAATGAAAATAATTGGTTTGTTTACGACTACTAATTCTCGACCACTTCGGTAGAACTGTCAAAACAGTCAGGCCTTGAATATGACGTTAGCCACGGCGGTAGTTATGGCCCTTTATATGCCTTAACTGCTGACCTTAAGAAGGTGAGTTTTGTTGATGTAAATAATAACTGATTATATATTTATAATTAATTTATTCTTGTTTCTTAAAATATTTTGATTGTTATTTTCTTTTATCTATAGTTATAATTAATTTTGATTAACGTCATATTTGTTGATGTTGTGAAAGTATCGCATTTTCCGATAACTATTATCACCCTTTTCCACAGCCCTTTTCGTAGCATTGAACTAAATAAATCTTGTGCTTCTTTAACATTTTAAAATAACAAAAAATATGACCCTAATTAAAATTTTGTCAATAATACAAAAAATGAAAACGAAATTATATTACCACGTAAACACGTTTTGATTTTTAAGACTTTAGGAAAAATTCAACTATATTTTTATGTTTTTTTTTATTTTTTTCTAAAAACGTATGGATTTGGGAAAAAATAAACGGGATTAGCCATTTTAGAACAAGAAATTTTTTTATGAAGAATGCATTTTTCTCAAAATGTCAATAATTAGAAAGTTTTTCCTCTTGTAAAGACAATCCGGGGACATACTGTATAATCATAAATAAGATAACCAAATAAGAATAGAAAATATGAAATCGGAATTATAAATTCTTAAACGCGGACTTAAATATCATCGAATCGTCTAACGAAAACTTGGAACAAGTAACTGACGCGAGCATCAGTTTTAATCTGGAAGTTATGTGAAACTCGCAAAAGAAATAATTTAATTTCGAAACAAAATCTCCAGGTAGAACGTTGCCTTTAACTTTGTAAGAAGTTCTGACAAGACCTGGAAACTGTACAGAATAGATAACCTTTTTCTTTTTGTTGATTGAAACGGGACATAGATATCAAGTAATGATAAGATTTTTTTTTGAAGTATAGGTGTCTAATTTAAATCTAATTATTGTTCATCTGAATCAATAAATTAACAAGTATTCTTCTACTACTCCTAGTGTTGTGCTATTCATTAGAATGTCTTTTCTGTCTACTAGTTCGATGTACATTACTTTAGTTTTTGCTTGTAGAAGATACATTAATTTTGAGACCTACTTTGCTGCTGGCTGTATTTAGTTCGTTAATTTGGGCTTATAGTTCGTCAGGACTATTGGCAATTAGGACTATGTCATCAGCAAATCTTAGATTGTCAAGATATTCCTCATCTATTTTTAATCCTTTATTGGTCTAGTCCATTTGACGGAAGATTTCTTTTAGTGTTGCTGTAAACGGCTTTCGATATATCGCGTCTCCCTATAGTATATATCACTATATATTTTACACTAAATATTTTTTTTTCACGCTCAAAATTTGTATGATATTTTCACAACACTCAACACTATTCCCCCAAAAATTCCACATATAGGGCCCTGAAAAAAAAAGGATATGCAACAACCAATCCACAATACCGACAGTGCACCTCATACAGAGAACATTAGTCCCTGACGAGCTTGGAGCTGAAAAAATTGAAACATGAGCCAATGTGAACCTGTAAGACATTCAGATAACCTTAAAGATATCTATTCAAAATGACCTGTTGTGGTTCCTTGGAGACTCATACAAAGACTGATAGTACTGGAACATCTTGAACTACTGCTGTAAAAAAAATAGGAGCAAGAAAAGAGAATCATATACATAGAAATTGTGTAGACTTCAATTTGGCTTCAACATAACTCAATAACCTGTTGTATGTAGCTTCAAACAAAGTAGATGTTCAATCAACGTAAATCTATAAGATACAAGAACCATACAATAATCTTCTGAAGGCGTTGAACCAAGTAGGCTGCAGTTGTTCCTGGGAAGCCTCGTACTTATGGATCATTATATTCCCATTCTTGCTTCAAACGTAGTAGAACTTCAACCCATATGAACCTATAAAACACAAGAACCCAACAAAAATATTCTGCAGGCATCGACTCAAACTAAGGCTCATACCAATTTTTCTTCTTATCACGCCCTCTCCTGCCGAAGGTTGGCGATCCAAATGGCAATTGTAGCTCTGGAAACTGCAGCCAGGAAGATTTCCGCAGACGAGCGTTCAAACCATCTCCTCAAATCTTTTAGCCATGAGTTCTGGCGTCTTCCTACTGATCTTTTCCCTTGCACTTTGCCCTCTATTATGAGGCGCAGTATTTCGTATCTACCACTTCTCATCACATGACCCAGGTATTGCATTTTTCTTTCCTTAATGGTGTTCAGTATCTCTTTTTGTTTCTGCATGCGCTGGAGTACTTCATTGTTGGTGATCCTTTGTACCCATGAGATTCGCAGCATCCGTCTGTATATATACATTTCGAAGGCTTCTATTCTCTTCTCGGTCTGTGAATCCAGTGTCCAGCTCTCACATCCATAGAGTAACACAGAGAAGACATAGCATCTGGCCATTCGAGTTCTGAGATCCGCACTGAGGACTCTTCTTGTAAAAAATGATTTCTTTCTCACGAAGATTTTTCTCGCTTGCTCAATTCTTGAAAATATTTCTCTTTTCGGGTCGCACTGACTATTGATGATAGCTCCTAAATACTTTATTGAGGTCACTTGTTCGATTGTTTGTCCCTTGACACGCAGGTATGCATTTATTGGAATCTTAGAAAAGACCAATAGTTTGGTCTTGGAGACATTGAGATGCAGTCCAAACATCTCACTATAGTGGACTACGGAATCTATAATGCTTTGCAGTTCTTGTATATCGTTGGCTATTATAACCGTATCATCGGCATATCTGAAATTGTTTATTGGGATTTCAATGAACTTGATTCCGCCCTGGATTCGATCCAGTGCTTCTCTAAATATAGTCTCCGAGTACAGGTTAAACAGGAGCGGAGACAAGACGCAACCCTGCCGTCTGATTTGTATATCTTCCGATGTTGACTGCTTCATCTCAACTACCGCCGTTTCATGCCAATAAAGTTCTGATATGAAACGTAGGTCATGTTCGTCAACTCCGGTTGTTCTTAGAATTTTGATCATCTTCTGATGATTAACATAGTCGAACGCCTTACGATAGTCTATGAAGCATACAAATACATTCACATTCATGTCTCTACACCTCTGTGTCATTACATTTAGGGAGAAGAGTGCTTCACGCGTTCCGAGTCCGTTTCTGAAGCCAAACTGGGTGCTGTCCATCTGATTTTCGCACTTCTTGTAGATTCGAGTGTGGATGATTCTAAGAAAGGTTTTGAGGACATGGGACATAAGACTTATCATCCGATAGTCATCACATTGTGAGGCGTTGGGTTTCTTTGGCAGGGTTGCGAATGTTGATTTAAGCCAATCTGACGGTATTTTGCTTGAGCTATATAATTTGTTAAATAATGCTGTTACCAAATCTAGACTTCTGCTTTCGTTATCTGCAATGAGTTTAAGTATTTCAACGTTTATTTTATCGGGACCGATAGCTTTTCCGCTTTTCTGCACTTTTATTGCATGAACAACTTCGTCTTTGGTTATTGCTGGAGCCTTTTCATTCAGTATGTGATCTATCGATGGTGGGGAACAGGGTCTGTCATCATTAAAAAGCGTTTCGATATATTCTTTCCATCTCACAAGCTTAGCCTTTACTCCTAGAATTATCTCGTTGTTATCGTTTCTTAGGATTGTTTCTTGGTGTTTTCTGTGTCTGCTTGTAAATTCTTCCACTTTTTTATGAACATTGAAGGTGTCATACTTTGCTTGTAGTTGCTCTATTTCTTGACATTTTGTTGACATCCAGATCTCTTTCTCTTTCCGGCACTTTTTCCTAATGATCCCATTTAAACGTTTGTATTCTATCGGGTTTGCCTTCTGCTTCCGTATGTCATCCATGAGGTCTAGTATTTCCTGTGTCATCCATTCCTGCTTTTTGTTGGTTGCCGTGAATCCAATATCTTTTTCCTGGATATTTGTTATTCTAGTTCTTAAATCATTCCATGTTTTTTCGACATCCTCTTCCCGTACAGGTACCTCTACCATTTCTAGTTCTTTTTCGATCTTAGAACTGATCTCTTTCTTTTTCTCGGGGTTGTTCAATAGTGCGATGTCTATTTTCTTTGCCGTTTTTTCTCTTTTAATTCTCAAGAATCTCTTACCAATACCTGTAAAAAATAGTAACAAAAGAAGACTACCATATACATAGATAATGTGTAGGCCTCAATTTGGCTCCGACATGACTCTGATCTGTTGTATACAGCTTCAAACAAAGTATATATTCAACCAGCGTGAACCTATAAGACACCAGAACCCTACAAAAATCATCTGAGGGTGTCGACTCAAACTGGAAGCTCGTAGAGGCTGTCAGTCTTTGTAGAGCGCCAAGACCTACTCTTGTAGGAAAATGAACCAGACTTAGATATGACCCTGTTAAGTTTTGGACATCAAAAATTGAAACTTGAACTAATGACGACCTGAAAAAGTCCTAAAAATTTCTACTGCACTAGTAAAAAACTCGATTCCTTTTTTTCCATACCTGAAC